ATTAATTTTCAAATTGATTGATTGAGATACCTTTCCAAACATAACCCGACAATTTGTGAAAGGATTTCAAGGCTTTAGGAGATTTCAAATTTGAATTTCAGATTTTTCTGAAATTAATGCTAGGCTAATTTAGGAAAATGTGAGAGGATCAATTTGAAATTTTGTGGGGAAAGGGAAGAGGGGGTCATGATGGTTTCAGCCATGGGAACAAGAAGGTGAAGTTGTTTGGTTGCCACGGTGAAGTCATTTGGTTACCTATGTGGAAAGGACAACAATACAAACCCTCTTGCACGCCCGAACAACACTCTAACGTCTCCGAAAATTCTAGACAGCAACTATGTGGGCGCCAAATCCTGAAACAATTGGTAGTGGGGCTGGAAAATGGGCTGGTCCTGTATTTCAACAGCATGCAGCTGTCTTTGGGATGATTTGGGAGGGAAACAATAAGCTCCTGGCATGACATTGGGAGGGCGGCGGATACTAAATGATTAGGGGGATTTGGGGCCTTAGTGAAGTTGCGAACTATAGCTTACTAGCTAAGGAAAGGAATTAATTTAGATTTACATTCAATATCTAGATTTTCTCATGGGGATATCCTTGCAAACATTGCCCAACAATTTAGGAAAGGAATTCAAGGCTTGAAGGAGTCAAAATTAATGTTAGGCTAAATTAGGAAGGGGAATTAATTGAGATCTTTAATTAATATTCAAATTAATTGATTGTGATATCTTTCCAAACATAACCCAACAATTTGGGAAAAGATTTCAAGGCCTTAGGAGATTTCGAATTTGAATTTCAAAATTTTCAAAATTAACACTAGGCTAATTTAGGAAGGGGAATTAATTAGAGTCTCTAATTAATATTCAAATTGATTGATTGAGATATATTTTCAATCATAACCCAACAATTTTGGAAAAGATTTGAAGGCTTTAAGAGATTTCAAATTTGAATTTCAGATTTTTCAAAATCAATACTAGGCTAATTTATGAAGGGGAATTAATTGGGGTCTCCAATTAATATTTAAATTGATTGATTGGGATATCTTTCCAAACATAACTTGACAGTTTAGGTAAGGATTTCAAGGCTTTAGGAGATTTCAAATTTAAATTACAGACTTTTATGAAATTGATGCTTGGCTAATTTAGGAAAATGTTAGAGGTTTGAAAATTTGTGGGGAAAGGGAAGAGGGGGTCATGATGGTTTCGGCGATGGGAACAAGGAGGTGGTTAGTGGCTATGAAGAAGGGGGAACGGAGAGGCTGTGCATGGTCAAGGCTTGGAGGAGAAAGGAGGTGGTTAGTTGGAGCTTTGGGAGGAGATGATGGTGGTGGCAAGTTCAATGAGGGTGGAGGCGCAGATATACCGTGAGCCCGGACGCTTATTGAGGCTAATGGGTCTTGCTTTGCCCTCATCTAGGGACTTCACATAAGCTCTCACAAGAACTCTCAAGGCTCTCAAAAACATCTAGACATAAAGTGCAGAAAATTTCATTCATAATAATCATCATCCTCCCAAAGAGGAGGTGAGATCTATAAATAGACAAAAAACAATAAAATATCAAATGACAAAAGTGCCCCATAGGGTCACATACTCACATAAACCAACTCCCTCATGTGAAGGTAAAATTGAAAAATTACATATAATAAATCAAATACAAATAAATGCTCATAAATAGAGTAATCCGATCATAGCCGTAGATCTCCGGCCTTGCCCTTCCTTTGATAAATTTTCCACGGCTGGATGTCATCATCACATCCACCTAGAGGTTCATATTCACTTGAAAGTTCATCAGCCAAAGCCGAACTAAAGGCTGAAAGCCAAACCAAGGTGAACTTGTGTCCAATAGCAAATCCACATGAAATCAATTGCAGCAGAACTTTTTTAATTGATAGCAAAACTAGTGAATTGAGCCCAAACCAAATTCAAAAATAACATAGAGGACCAGATGTTGGACAAAGAGAACCAAACTAGAGAATATGACATAATCCATTCTCTTTGGAGAATCATCACAAGCATGTTTCAATTTACTGAAACAAAAACTAGAAAACTTTAAAATAGTATTAACTAAAATAAATCAGAGTAAAAATAAAAATTGTTCAGATCATTAATTTGGTCATACCAATGGACACAATTTACATTTCTGACAAATATAAATTATGATGTTTTCATCATTAAGCAGCTTTTCCTTAACATGTGTTTGGAAGATATAATTTTGAATAAAGATTTGGAAGCTTGAAGTGTTTTCATCGGTATATAGGCAGTTTGAACTTCACTTCAGCACAATCATTTTCATAATTTCATGTACTTCAATTTGATATTTGGTATGACCCGGAAGGATTGCAATGATAAATGACGATTATGGTTCGCTAAAAACTCCTAGAAAATGCAGGATTGATAGAGAGTGGAGGAAGAATAAGAACATTTTAGAGAAGGAAGGTTTATTTTATTTGCATACCGAATACTCTCCATTAGAAATGTACATAGAGCTTGCAATATATTATAGGACTTATTAAAGACGAATTAGGTACTAACATCACTTAACCTACCTATTAAACATTATAACTTATAGACCATAGCATTACTGACTCCTTAAAATCGACATTGCCTTCAAAGTCGAAGAACATAACAAAATAAGATAAAGTTGCAAAATGTGCATAATCTTGAGGTCGTGGTATTTATGTGTCAATGTTGGTGAATTGCAAGAGGTGAGAGATTGTCCAACCATATACTTCCTTATGCTCGTGAAAAGGGAGGTTTTGACCATTCATCTGCTAGCTATTATGTTTCCTACAACTATTGTTATATGATTGGTGTTGTCTTAGGAAGGTTTGGAATAGGTTCTACAAAAATGATAGCCAATATAAAATCTAATGGAGAAGCAGGAGAAGATACTGAGATTTATAATTAAAACAAGAAAGGATTTAAGGAATTGTTTAACATGTGCCATGCACAAAAATTGCAAACTGGACAGACTGTAGTGACAAATCAGGGGTTGAGATTTGGATGGCTGATTAGATGCTAGTCAAGTGAAAATGCATTGATGCCTAGATGATTCTCACACGGAGCTTGAGTAGTTTTGTTGAAGAGTATGAGATAATGCATCAATCTTTGGCTAAATGGTTTGAGTTGGTAATTTTCATTTTTTTTAGCTCGAATGCATCGCAAAGTTTCTACCAATCATCAATGAATAAAAATAATCTCGTGCAATGGACTAAATCCAAATAGTGTGGTTGAATTAAGGGTACACTTTAGTGATCAACAAGTGTGTCGAAGTCAAATTTGACTCAAATTTCACTTTGAGCCGAGTTAGTTGTTGGTTTATATCATATATATAGTTCTCCAAATTTCACTTGGTTTTTGTTTGACATTTTCGAGATTGTTTGGCATGTTGAGCCTTGTTGCATAAATTTATTTGACCATAAATGTTTACAGTAAAATGCAAAATGTTGTATCTATTTCCCTTATTTTTTTCTATGGATCATCACTTACCAAATCTAGAAGTAGGATCGGCTCTAACAAGTGTTTCATTGGATTGGAAATACCGGGGGATTGGGAAACTGAGTTTGGTGGCGGAAGAGTCAGAGATGGAGCTACAAACCTAGATAGGAACTTGTTTGATCTTGTGCAGGAGAGGGCTTGAAAATATACTGTAGCAGATTTGGCAGTAGATGCAATAAAATGGGATCTATTGTTAGGAGAAGGTGGAGATGAGGATCCTTTAAATATGCTTGCTACAGATGAGGGCGCATGACAAGTGATTTGATTTGGACGAGGGTGGATCTAGGTCGCATTGTTTGGAATAAGGGGGAGGAAAAATACAAAATTGAGGTACAAATATAGGTAAGAACTTGACGGAGAGGGCTAGGAGATGCATATTTGGTTAGTATGGAAGGAAAATGGGCAAGGCTCAATGTTGAATATGGCGAATTTGCCAAGTGAGAGATGTAGATCTGCAAAACAAGTCGTGGATCAGGATGATGGATCTGAGACTTCGAAGATGGAGCAATGGAGATGGATTGAGGCAATTGATGAGATCCCATGGGATCTGGAGATGGAAGGCTTCACGATATTTGGAATGGAGTGGGCGGCTAACTGTGTTTTTGAGGGTCTTGGAGACATTGATGGAGGTAGGCATTTTGTGTTTAATCATTTTATTTATGAGTTGGAAGCGAGACTTAGAATTGTTAGGGAGATGAATTGGTACAATGAAGGTCGACAATTTGGGAAGCAAAATCTAAGTCTGATATTCAAAGATAAGATGCAAAGAATGAGAACAAAAAATGGACTGACAATTAGAGGTAGCGTGCGGCAGTGTAGAGGACAATGAGAGCACCAATGTTAAGACCCAAGAGGATTGCAATGATAAATGGTTAAAGTTCATTGGAAACTCCTAGAAAATGCAGAATTGTCAGAGTAGTAGAAAAAAGAAGAACATTTCAAGTGAGGTTCGATTTCATTTTATTTGCATACCTAATACTCCCTAATTGGAAATATATATAGAGCTTACAAGGTTTCGTGGGACTCATTAATGACCAATTAGACACTACTATCATTTCATTTGCATACCTAAAACATACCCAATAGGAAGTATAAATAGAGCTACAAGATATCATAGGACTCATTAAAGATCAATTAGACACTAAAATCACTTAACCTCCCTATTAATCATGATAATACCCTTTAACTTAATCAAATGACCAACTATGCTTACTGAACCTAACAATATCAGCGCTCTGTGTGCTGTTTTTTTAATTTTTGATGTGGCATTCTTGGAAAAGCATGTATATTTATACCCTTTTTCCTTATTAGACCCCTAATGAAGTGGATGTTTGGTAAATATGCAATTGGTATATATTATCATTATATGTCAATTTGCGTTTACATTGTTTTGTGTACTAGCGATTGTTAGAAATTCTCATTTATATGATTAAATAACTTATTGAATTTAATTTTCATCGTTTCCACTTGAAATTCATTACTCTTTGCTCCCTTTGTGTTTAGGTTGGGGATGAATGCTTCCTAATTGTTGGTGATAACAATGACATCAGAGAGTTTACATCGATTCATCGATCTTCTAAATCAAGTGACAATACGGTATTTATGGATAACAGGCTTAGGTGAACCATTTCTATCAGCTCGCTAATCTTATCTCTTAAAATGTTTGTCCAGGTTATAGGCAACGGCAATCTTATCATGGGTTCCTGTCATATTGCACATGATTGCAAAGTAGGTAATAATAATATTTTTGCAAACAATACTTTGTTCGCAGGCCATGTTGTAATTGAGGTAGTTCCTTCTTCATCATTTAAGATTGCCTATGATGCTTGTGCCGTCCAGTGCTTATTGCTAATTGAAGCAAGTAAATCCATTTCTATGTAGGATTGCTGTCATACTGCTGGGGCTATTGTAGTTCATCAATTTTGTCATATTGGATCCTACTCTTTCATCGGTGGAGGATCTGTGGTATGTAAGCCATTTAATTTTCACATTTTCTTGAATCATTCCCTTATTATTTTCTCTTGAATGGTTCTCATGAATGTGTTTGGCTAATTGTGCAGTTAATGCTTCTCATGTCATGGTTAGGATGTTGTTTTGCATGCATTCATGCGAAAAAAAGCTGTTAAGAACATCTATCTAAAAGTGGAAATGTTAACTCTACGGTTTATTCCATTTGCATGTATTTAATCTTAAATAAGATTTTATTTTATTTTTTTGAAAGATTTGACCATCATCAGTAGTCTTACCCCAACTATTTGGGATTTTGATTTATGAATCTTTATTTTGTCTTCATTTTATATTAGTATTGGATGTGCTATTAAATCTATTCTTTGCAAATAGTTTTGAATATCTTCAATTCATATTAGCTTGTTCATATCCCTTTACCTTCCAAATCATCCTACTAGTTAAATCTATTGAGTTACTTAAGGATTATATTTTTCACACTTTGTCGTACACATTAAACCCACCTAATTTTATTTTCAATAGCATTATCTACAATAGATGTCACTCCAACCATTCTTCAAATATAATCCTTTTTTATATTTCCTACTTTTGTGATGGGTCCATCTTAACATTGTATTTTTTTCCACCCACAATTTACCTATAAATACATTTTTTTACTGATTAACACTTAAGATCCATACAATATAGTTGACTTAATTGTAATTTATAAAATTATCGGAAATCTTTATGATATTTTTTATTGAATAATCCTCTCGACGCACGTCAACATTATAACTACCCAGCTTTAATATAAAAATTATATTCTCATTTTTTTATATTAAGATCCAAGATATTTAACATAGCACACCTAAATATGATTTTATTTTTTAATAATATTGACAAAGTCTACTCCATTTACCAGGTTATTTCATTTCTAAATCATGCTTGCAACTTGTTTCTTCTATTCTAGATTTCACAAGACGTTCCAAAATATATGATGGTTTCTGGTGATAGAGCAGAAATTCGTGGTTTGAATCTTGAGGGTCTTCGACGCAATGGATTCTCAAGTGAAGAGGTGTCTTTTTTATTTATCTTTCTTTCTAGTATATGTGAAGCCTTTTCTTTCAACCTAAAAGCATCTCTATTGTAGACTGAATTTCACCTAACGATAGACAAAGACCTTTCAAAAGGCCTGGACAAAGTAGATGTATTAGTTAAGAGGACCTTGGAATGCAGATACTTAAAATTTGATGCTTTATAGTATGGTTTATTTTGTTATGGTATCCTATTCCTACTGTACCAGTCACCTTGAACACGTCAGATGGCTAGTTTGGTTTTCATTCCCTAATCTCTTCTTATTAGTTTAACTAACATTTCTCTTCCGGTTATCTTGGAAGAACCCTATAGAACAAATATTTCTCCAGTTTATTCCATATTTGACTTTTCTTGTAATACTTTATTTTTGCAAGTCCTTGATTTTTAGATCTTTGATTACTAAGGTCCAAACAATCAGAAAAGCATACAGAAAGATATTCATGAGTAGTGATACGACCACAGGATGTTTCGAGGACCGGCTATCTGAAGTGGTAAGGGCATCATTATCTCTTTTTTAGTTATCATCCTTGACATTGATACATGTAAAACTGTACAGGAACAGAACAGAGAACTGTTTGGTGTTTCTGTTGTGTGCTCCATGGTGAAATCTATCAGGGATTCATTTAAAGGAACTCGTCGAGGAATATGCAAGTTTAGACATTTATTCGGCTCTTCGAGGGACTACTACGGCTTCTCTTGAATCCTTCATGCTGTGAGTTTTGTGCTAAATTTACAATTTTGCCTTTCTGATTCTTTTTCACAACAGAAAATATTCAATTAAATTGTTATCTAGGTAATTAGTTTCTATGAATTCTTCTTTGGCATTTGAAATTGCATAAACTGATTTCAAATTGACCGTTGTGTAATATTCTTCTATTGACAGGTAGAAGAACGTTGCAAGGGGTCCCTCGCACAAGGTTTCCGATTGTATGTGCTGACATATTTCAGATATTGTTGTATCCTTTTTATATGTGAAATTTCATTATCTATCAGTTGAATACTATATAACTTTCTGTATGAAAAAGAGTCTTGTACTTTCAGGTGAGATGCTTAGTTGTATGCTTATATATATTCTTGCAGGCATTCAGAGAGTGCATTGTTAGTAATCTCATGATCAAACTATGATCAAATGGTGTTATTTTCAGGCTAACTCAACCTGTGCATTAGGATAAATAGTTCCAAATTCTTCCATTTAGATATGTACAAAAGATTTGGAAGAAATTTTAGATGGTATTGTGAAATTGGAGCCTTCAGAATCTCCCACTATTGAAAGTCCAGTGGAAAATAACATAACGCAATGAATTTTAATCTCGTTACTAGGCCCCCTTGTCCCATTACTACTATAAATGATGTTGATGCCATAGTTTTGAGCAATTCAAACGATAGTGTACTGAATATTGAAGCTTTAGTGGATGGAAGTTTCAAATGTTGTTTATTTGGAGAGACAGAAATTTGAAAACAATTTATTATTATTCTCTAACATTCATTAGGCTTCAAGCAAGAAGGCACAAATGAGTGCTCGTTATTGTTATCTTGATCTATCAAATGGGTATTTTTTACTGTCACAAACTTTTACATTTTAAGTTGGCAATATGTAGTTATTGTAATTGTTTGTGCACTTATTTTATTAATTGGTTATTATGCTTGTATATATTATGTTGGAACCATTTTTATAGAATGAGATTAAAATTTAATCTAGTTCGTATTTGTTTATGGCATGTATTGAACTTGAATCAAAGTTAATGAGCCATGTTTGAGTCGGATCAAGCCAATCTTTGACCAAATTTGGCTCAATTTTAGATTGAGGTTGAATGACATTGAGCCAATCATGTAGTGGAAACATGATAATGATCATTATTCACTTAATCGTATGAGAGGATAATTAGAGCAAGATTAGCATCTTTATGATATTTTTTATTTATAAAAAATAATTACTGAATTGTGATTGACCATCTTCTCATTTGAGATGATTTTTTTTGGTTGTTTTTAAAGTAGCTTTCTAATAAAAATTTCTAGTTCAAAAAATTTTTATACTAAAAGCCTGTTTTAGAAAGGCACTAAGAAAGTCGTCTTAAATGAAATATGTATTAAAAATGGTGCTTATATGCAAAAGTTGACTGAACTTATATACTCAACTTCCCAATTTGGTTATTTTTATTATTTTTTATCTGTTTAATTCTACTGATATGCTTATAAAATATTATAGAACTTTGTTGGAATATATCAAAGATTATGAGAGATATGAATATAATCAAATTTTGATTTTTTTTAAAAGCCAACTAATAAGAGTACATGTTTTAGTGATAGTAGGTCTAATGGGGCTTATTAATACAAGTATATGTTTTAAATATATTGGCTATATTGTTCATAGTGATGGTGAAATAGATGGGGATATTATTAGTGGAACTCAAGTTGGATGGTTGAAGCGGAAGAATGCATTAGATTTGCTATGATAGAAAAGCCCCCTTTAAACTTAAAAAAAAATGCTATAAGTTGGTGGTGAGATTTGTAATGCTTTATTGTGTAGATTGTTGGCCATTAAAATAGAAGCAAAATATTAAGTTAAGTGTTGATTAGGTGGATGAGTGGCTTTACTTTTAGAGACATGATATATAATGAGCAAATATATGAAAAAAAGTTGTAGTTGCTTGAAGATAAGATTAGAGAAGAGTCGTCTTAGATGGTTTGGTCACATAAAATAATAGCCTTTTGACGACCAAGGTAGGATAGTAGAAGTATTATATTTAACTAATGTTGAGATAGATACAGGTAGGTATAAAAAGTTTTGGTTAGAAAATATTAGAAATGACCTTTCTTTATTATGGTTAATGAGAATTCGTCTCTTAACAAAAATATAAGGGAGAGAAATAATTAATGTAGTTCTACCCTACGTAATAGGATAAAGATTTGATAATGTTGTTGTTATAAAGCCAACTAAGCTAGTTGATAAATGCCTTAAAAGTTGTTATCAATATGATGAGTTTGATCTTCACCTACTGTATAATAAGTCCCACTTTGCGAATTTTTGGTTGAGCATTATGACAAAAACAATAAACTTTTGCTCATAATTGACTGTAGTAAATAAGCTGAAAAATTATTCAAATTTAACGAACACAATTAGCTTAGCATGAACAATTTTAAAGCCATAATACAAATTCTTTTCTAGCATCAAGCTTTATTTATTTATTTATTATTATTGTTATATATTTTTTATGGTCCTGCTACTCCAAATCATTGCTTCTCAGAATCCTATTTCAATTCATAGTGATGGCATAAAATGGAATCCCATGTTCTTTGCTCATTTTACACCTGTCATCGAGAAGGTTCCTTTCATGGCTTTTTCTTCTTTAATAGTATTTGATAGTGAGTCAGATGTGATGGTAGTTGCTGCCGTGGTGGGTTTTCAGGAGCACTTTTTTTTTTGGGAATATTTCAGGAGTACTTTGATGCAAAGAAGAGGTGCATAGAATAATGAGAGGTTTAAAATTTATTTACTACATCTATTGGTTGAGAGCTTAGGCTTCCAACTAAGAGGTTCACGGTTCGAGTCTATGTATATGCGTTGTGTGTGTGAATTTGTCTTAAATGGCCGAAATGTCCCAAAAAAAAAAAAAAAAAAAGATTTGATTGGGGTCAAATTGGATTGATATATAGGTTATAATGTTTTAATGACCAAATTTACATCTATAGGTTATATAACAAATTTTTATTATAAAATTGTATCTACATATTATTTATGTTAATTAATTTATTATTAATAAATAGATAAAAATGTTTTTTGTGCCTAAATAAATAAATTATAATTAACTAAAAAAAATTATTCATATTATATTAATTTAAAACTTTGTTTATGTTGAGAATTTGATAACCTTAATTCATTTATTTAATTGGCCGATTTTTGAAAATTGGGGCAGTTTCACCTGTTATTTGTTGACCTTGAATTCATCAAATCTTGGATCAAAGAGGTTGACTTGGTCAAATTGACCAAGCCAGGCTCTAAGACCCATCCCATTCAATTCAATGGATCAAACCAAGTCTGTTAAGCCCAGACTTAAGCCCTAGGTCAACCTGGTTAAGTAAGTCAACCTAGGTTGACCCAAATGCTCTCCATTTGATTTCAAATTACTTTTATTGCTTCCTTGGCTCAATTCTCTCCCCCTTGGACTCAGTGGGTCAGACTTGACCCATTGGGGCCTAGACTCATGCCCTAAGTCAACTGATTGACCAGATCAACCCAGGTTGACCCATTAAGCTTGGTTGAGCCCAAATCAATTTCAAATCAATTCAAACCCTTCATTTTGGCCCAACCCCTCACTTATTTGACCTAATTGACCAAGTTAACCACGTCAAGCTTTGAATTGGTCAACCCAATACTTATTAGGTCAAATTGACCTATTTAGGTCATTTTAAATCCATTCAATGCATTAAAATCATTCCAAATCATCCCTTGAGCAAAATCTCATTCTAATTATCTCCCCTACCTCCTAATTAGCTCTAGATCTAATCATAGCCATCAATGATAGGCTTGGGACTATAAATATGTTAATTAGGGTTGATGTTAGGGATGTTTGCTTTTGCTCTTTCTCCAAGTATCCTTAACCTGAGATTTTTAATTATGGGTTATATTAGGGTTGATGTTAGAGATGTTAAAATTAAAAGAGTATGGCCAAGTGTGATTGTCAATGTGTACCTTGCTCTTCATATACATACTGCTTGGGATTTTCTATTTTTAACTACTTAGGATAACCTTACAGGAGAGCCTAGTTTTTTTTTAATGATATAATTTGATGTAAAGTATCAAATTATGAAAGTCTTAAAAAATGAGGCATTTCAAACACTAGGTACCCAAAGGGAGTAAGAAAGACCCCTCACAGGGGGTTTCTTTCTCATTAGGGTACTCTTCTGAAGGAAGAGCTCTACAAAGACAATCTGAAGGAAATTGATCTGGAGGAAGACGATCCACTCGAAGATAGAGACTTAAAGATGAAAATGCCTTACTTTTAAGACTTATGTCATTCAATTGGATTAGAATCCAGATTATTATTGGTGGGGCCTGACCACCATTACTTTTCTGCAGATTATGGGTTATATTTATATGACTGTTGACTACTAAAAAAAAAAAGAAGACAAAATACAAATTTTTTTTAAAAAAAAAAAACAACCGACATACTAGCTGCCTCCGATCCCACCTTGCGTGGTTTGCCCCCAAACGCAGCGACTCTTCGTTCGAAAAGGAGATAACCGCAAATTAATTTTTAAAAGGATGGAGAGAACGATCAAGAGGGAACTTACGCTCGCTCGTTTCGCTGCTTCGACTGCATCATTGCTGTTCGACTTCGTTGTTGCTTCGTAGGAGGTGTCTAGGGTTCGCCCTTCATCTCCTCTTTTCGTCGTTGTTGTTCGTCTCCATTGCTTCACAGGAGGCCGAGAGATTGCACTTGCCGCTTCTTCAACTCCTTGTGGCTGTGCGACTTCGGCTCCCTCGTCACCTCGACTTCGTTCCTTCATTTGGATGGGGATAAGGCTGCAAATGTGTCGCCTCTTTCCGGCTCCTTTACAATCGCTGTCCGGACTCCTTTGCTTCGTGGAAGGAATAGAAGATATGCACGACTTACTTCTTCGGACTCCTTTGCTCTTCGCTCCATTGCCTTTGCAAAGGTGCAGCAGATTGCACCGCACTTCTTCGGCTCCTCCTCTACCGAATCCCTCTCTCCCTCTCTTAATTATATGTAATATATAAAATAATATTATATATTATATTATTTAATATATATATAAATATAATTAAAGATGATGTTATAATTCAAAAATTTTATAATATAAATATATATATTAGTATATATATATATATATATAAAGAGGATTTCAACAGGTGTCGAAGACCCCGACCGTCGTACCTTAGGTCCGATCGGGATGGTTTAAAATTGAAGACCCGCGCCATCGATCTTAGTCTGGGGCGATGATTTTACAATTCGAAGACCTCACGCAGTCGATCTTAGATCCTGGTGAGATGGTTTGCAATCTAGACCCTACGCCGTCGACCTTAGGTTCCGGGTAGGAAAGAATTACGGCAGAGGCCCGTCTCCGATTTCTCCCTCGGTGGGGAGGTGACGTCGGGAGGCTGCCGAAATTTCAAGAAAAAAATTATAGAACTTTTTGGAACAATTTTGAAGCAATTAAAATTTGAATATTTGATTAATAAAAAATTTATTAATTAAAATTAATCGAAATAATTGATTGATTGTTTTAAGGAAAAATATAAAATCAATGAGTTTCAAAATATGGGAGACAATTTGAAGAAAATGCTAAATACGAAAATTTAAAATTCTAAGAATTTTAAAATTTGAGAGTATTTAAAATTTTTTTTTTGAGAGCTCTGAGATTTAAAATTAATTTATTGATTAATTATTTTAATTAATCAAGTGAGAAATTTCAAAAAATAAAATAAAAATGCAATGAATAAAATAAAAAAGGGGAAGGAAAAATGTTGTCCACTATTTTACATATACAAGCTCTCAAATTCTCCAAAATCCTTTCCA